TTTGAAAAAGAATTTTGACATATGTTTTTCGAAGAGACTTTTCCCAACAACATTTGAAACAGGCAACGTAAACAATGCCTTGAAATCTTTGTTTTTGAAAACTGGACACGTCCTACATTTGAGCCCAAAGGCTGTTGTGGAAGACGGGAGCGGGAGGTAACTTTAAAATTTGTTCTAACAAGGACATTTAGATAAAAACCAATTGCAGTCCTTGTGGTAAATTGACAAGTTCTTGAAGCTTACTGAATCCTCACTGCATTGTAGCGAAGCCTTTTCCCGTAACTGTTGTAACCCTGACTCAGCTAAGCTTGGTCACCACTCATTTCGCTAACTGATTTAAAATGCTCTTTTGCAGAAACTATACATAATAGGTGGCTTTGAAGGAACGCAGTACTTCAATACGGTGCGCTGCTACGATGGTGAAAAGAAAAAATGGTCAGAACTTGCGCCAATGCATCATGCGAGGTGGGGTGGTCTAATTAATCTAAAAATTACCAAATGACTCAAAATATTTTCCACCGGGTGCGCAACCCACTAAGCTCGATTCCGAGGACAGAGCGACCTGTCCCACCGGCTTGCCCGTTCGGAAACTGCAGAAATCCAGCACTTATGTACAGGTTTCACAAACAATTACTTTTTTCACTCATCACATTACCGTCACAAAAACCGACATCCAGACTCTCATAAGCAGTAATGAGAGCACAAGAAAATACTGGTTTTTCCTGACAATTTCCGCATTTCGGCAAATTGTCACTGCCCTCCTACCTTTCAAATTATCGCTGCCCTGGAACTGTCCTAGAATATAATTTTTTTCTTTCAAAAATACAAGTATGTAGGGTTTTATGAGCGTTATAATACCTAAGTAATTTTGCTATAACTTCTTTTTGTAAACCTTTCATACAAAGAATAAGATGGCCACCCAGGTAAAAAGCGTGGGTGCTCAATATTAATGATGTTGCTATGATACCTCCATGCAACGGATGCAGCTTCTTTAGTCCTGGATTGTATGCGTCTAGTAGGAAACCGAAACTTGGTCGAATAATACGCGTTTCATTTTCGAAGTTTGCCTGAATGACTATTTATTTTCTCGAGTACTGGAACATTAAGATGTCTACAGTTTTCACTACTTGCCTTGATTTCAAGATTCCGATAACTCTGAAAGTTAAGTTTTTTTATTTTTTAATATATACCGCCGAACATTTGTTCGAATATTCTTCGAAATATCACATTTCTTCAGATGTTACATATCGGCTTGTGAAATCAATGGTACAATCATTGTAGCTGGTGGTTCTGATGGTAGAACCAGACTGCGCTCCGCCGAAATTTATGATGTTCAGAGAAATCAGTGGACAAAAATTCGGTAATGTTGCAGTGTTCGCATTTGGATGTCTTAGGATAGAGATACTTCTGCAAGATCCCATTCACATGGAGATTCAACGGCGTGTGTGAGAGTTTGTGACTATTTGTGAATTTATTGTTATGAAAAAAACTCGTTTCAGTGGTTATGAATTGATGTGGAATCGAGTCACCACTTGATTCACCATACATTGCATTCCCACTCCATGCTAAGACATTTTGCCGCCTGGAGGAGACAGTAAAGAATCATCATGAAATTATTGCAGAAATATGACGCAGAAGCGGTCAGATGCTGCAGCATGCGCGTTTGCTGGTAAAATGTTCATTGCCGGTGGCTATAACGGAGATACTGTACTACAAACAATCGAAATGTACACGCTAGAAGCGGATGTTTGGACTGAAGTAGCGCATATGACCACGCCCAGATCCGGTACGAATTAATAAACCGGAAATTTGACCGAACCTCTTTGTGCCGGGAGTAAGCCCCGTTTTACTAAAATGCCTGAAAACCATCTCTGGGTAGCATTTTCCTGAACCAAAACATGTGCACATCCAAAAAATTTGCAGTGTGAAGCTTTCGTGTCTCTCTAGCTCAAAACATGAAATGAATTAGATTAAGCGGGCCGGGAAAGAGTGCTGACTGAAAAGCGATTTTACACATTCTCATCCATTTCTGCGTAACTAAGCAGTGCAAAAACGCTTGTTTTCGAGAGGTTATCCGCTTGTGTGAGTGTGTTGGTCTGTCCATATCCTTTGTCTGAGTCCGTGTCTATGCTTATTCGGATTTTGTTTCCCACTCTTAAATTATAATAAGTGGCCAACGCACGGGCTGCCCGTGCGAAGATGCGTTTTTTTGCAGAGTTCCCTGCAGGTTTTTGTCGATACCGGCATCGGTTTTTCGGCAGATGCTTCTAGCTGAATTTCAGACTGGCCGCCAGAACTGTCAGGAAAAATCCTCTCAAAATTCCAATCTTCTAGCTTCTCACGTCCTCGAGTAATTAACTTACCCGGAAGGAACTTTTCACGAGCCTGTACGTAGGTACCACGCTTACCCGTGGGCAGGGCTTGAACTCGTTAATACCCACTTAGACAGGGAACACCTTCCTAAAATTCCAGCTGTCTAGCTTCTCAGAGCCCTGAGTTAATTTACGCGGGAAAAATTTTGGAGGGCCTGTACGCGGGTACCACGCTCACCCGGGGACTGGATTTGAGCTATTAGCACCTGCTTGGACGGGGAACATTCTCTTAAAATTTCAGCTTTCTAGCATCTCAGAACCCCGAGTTGTGAATTTACGCGGGGAAAGTTTTGGGGGGCCCGTACGCGGGTACCAAGCTTACCCTGGGTCTGGGTTTGAGCCCACTAATAGCCGCTTGGGCGGGGAACATTACCCCAAGATTTCAGCCTTC